TTTGTCGGTCATGGGGCTTGAACTCTAGGCCTGGGCGCTGTGCCTGTGCTCTTCAGCTCAAGGCTAGCACTCTACCACTTAAGCCACAGCGCCACTTCCGGTTTTCTGGTGGCTTATTGGAGATAAGAGTCCCATGAACTTTCCTGCCCAGGCTGGCTTTGAACCGAGATCTTCAGATCTCAGCCTCCTGAGTAGCTAGGATTACAGGTGTGAGCCACCAGTGCCCGGCTGATTTGCATTTCTTTTATGGCTAGAGAGGTTGACCATTTCTTCATGTGTCTATTGACCATTCTTATTTCCACTTCAGAGAAGTTGAGAGATCTATTTTTCACATGGTTAGAATGCTATCGGGTAGAAGGAAGTGAGAGGCAAAGATTTGTCTTTGGCAACGCGAAGGTGTTAAGAAATTTGCATGGTGTCAGGTTCTCTTCAGTTCAAGTCTACATGCTATTTGCAGAGAGGCCAAGTGTGTATGTGGAGAGGGTAGGGGGCTGGAATCATGTCCCACCCCAGAGGAGCTGGTCCTCTAGAGCTTCATCTTTTTTTTTTTTTTTTTTTTTTTAACTTTTTGTTGGTTGTGGGGCCTGAACTCTGGGCTGGGTCCTGTCCCTCATCTCTTCAGCTCAAGGCTAGTGCTCTACCACTTGAGCCACAGCACCACTTCTGACTTTTTCTGCTTATGTGGTGGTAAGGAATCAAACCCAGGGCCTAATGCATGCTAGGCAAGCACTCTACCACTGAGCCACCTTCCCAGCCCCGAGCTGTATCTTTTATTACCCAGATCTCAGCTACTCTTCATTCCTAATGCCTGTGAACCTCCAAACCAAAGGAAAATGATCTATTGTTATTCTCATATACACAAAAGGTCTATCTTTTCCCTAAAAACTGAGCATGTGTGCATGTGTGTGTGTGCTGGTACTGGGGCTTGAAGTCAGTGCCTGGCTGTCCCTTAGCTTTCTCTCTCAAGGCTACCACTCTACCACTTGAACCACATATCCACTTTTGCTTTTATGGTGATTAATTTGAAGATTAGTCTTATAGACTTTCCTGCCTAGGCTGGCTTTGAACCATAAATGATTCTCAGCCTTCTGAGTAGTTAGGTGCCATTTTTAAAAAAATTATTATTGTTTTTCTTGTCTGCTCAAACTCTGGACCTAGGAGGTGTCTTTGAGCTTTTTGCTCAAGGCTAGCGTTCTACCACTTTGAGCCACAGTGACACTTTTCGTTTTCTGATGGTTAATCGGATTTCAGGGTCTCACAGACTTTCTAGCCTGGACTGTCTTTGAAGAGTGATTCTCGGTTCTCAGCTAGGATTACAGGCTTGTTTTGTGTTTTGTGTTTTGGCTCTCTTAAGAGATTGCAGGATGTCACCTAGTGGCCCACCTTTATTACTGAGATGGAGGTCTTGTTAACATTTCGTTCCAGCTGGCCTGGAACTCTGATTTGCTGGATCTCTGCTTTCAAGTAACTGGGATTACAGGTGAGAATAACCACACCTGGCTGTGAAGAATGAGCATTCTGACAAGCTTGCAGAATGGGTAGGAAAAGGGATCTAAGTAGATTAAGATGGCTTAAGTATTGGTTAGGTTGTGTGGACCTAAAATGTTCAATGCTGGGATGTACCCTTCAGGCTTTATTGTTAGGATTATTATTTGAGGTGGGTCTCATGTTGCCCTGGGTGGTCTCAAACTACTAGTCTCAAGATTGGTCCTCTCACCTAATGATTCCTAGTATTAGAGACTACACACACATTTCAACATGCCTGGCTTGTCAACTTAAAAAATTTTGTTTGGGGGGCTGGGAAGGTGGCTCAGTGGTAGAGCGCTTGCCTTGCATGTATGAGGCCCTGGGTTCGATTCCCCAGCACCACATAAGCAAGAAGAAAAAATGCAGGAAGTGGCGCTGTGGCTCAAGTGGTAGAGCGCTAGCCTTGAGCTGAAGAGCTGAGAGACAGCACCCAGGCCCAGAGTTCAGGCCCCACGACCGGACCCAAAAAAATAAAAAAAATACAAATGAAAATTTTGTTTGGGGGCTGGGAATGTGGCTTAGTGGTAGAGTGCTTGCCTAGCATGCATGAAGCCCTGGGTTGGATTCTTCAGCACCACACAAACAGAAATAGCCATAAGTGGTGTTGTGGCTCAAGTGGTAGAATGCTAGCCTTGAGCAAAAAGAAGCTCAAGGTCATTGCCCAGGCCCTGAGTTCAAGCCCAAGGACTGGCCAAAAAAAAGAAATTGTCAGCTTGTTGATATCAGAGTTTTATTTCTTAAAATTATTTTCTAATCAGGCATCACTGGCCTCATCTGCAATCTTAGCTACTTGGGAGCTGAGATTGTTGAGATCTTGGTTTGTGGCCATCTTGGGCAGCAAAAGAAAATATTTCAAGACACCTTCTCAATGAAGATCCAGATGTGATAGCTTGCCATTCATCCCAGCAATTAGAAGCCTAACATAAATGACTCTCATCTGAACATCTAGGCACGAAGCTAGCTCAATCTCAAAAACTAGCGGAAAAATGAAGCTTCCAACTCAAACCCGAGGACAAAATTCAAACCTGAGTACCACCAAAAGAAAAGGAAGGTGTTTCTTATAATTCATAATGTCTAATAATTCCATAAATAAAATGGACGAACCTCAAAATGCCTGCTCTAAGATGAACCCTTGTTGGTTTCTATAGGCATTCACTTACAGAGTTTAACACTAGGGCATGTGAAGCTCCCTTTGACCCCAGTAAGACTGCTTTGCCTGGAGCATTGCCAGCCCCCTTCAAGGGGCTCTTTCCTAAATTCTGGTTCCTAATTCTAGCTGCTTTCTGCATGTTCCACAGGCAGGAAACTTGGCTAACAAGGCCCACAAAATCCAGCTCTCCCTGAGCCCCACTGATCTTTTTTTTTTATTGTGAAAATACTGTACCCCACTGACTTTTTGTCTACATCACATCCAGTGCCTATCTATGCTCCCCCTGCCCCTCCCTCTAAGGACAAACACCCACACTGAGGAATTTGTCCGATTCCTAGAACTGGATTGGTTCTTACCAAGTAAGGCTTTCCACGGAAATACTTCCCCCTTTTTTATGTTCCCCATTTTCAGACCCCTCCCCCTCAAAAAACCGGGTTAGTTCCTTCTGTTCGCTTTGAGATTACCTGTCCTATCACTCATCTGACCTGTTATATATATATTACCTTAGTACCAGGTGCTTTTATTCCGTTTCCTTTTAAAAAATCTTTACAGCTATAGTGATATATATGAAATTAATCAACTTAGGTGTTTCCTACTCAACTGTAAGTGGCTCAGGTGATAAGCTCTTTCTCTTTTAGTGCTGGGGATTAAACTCAGGGCCTTTGAACTCAGGGCCTTGATCCACAATCTGGGCAATAATCTGTTGAATGAGTAAGTGAATGAATGTCTTCCTCATTTGGCAAGCTTCATGAGCAAGCAGTACATAGTAGAACATTTTAGAATCTGGTAAGTACTATTTGAAATGAACATCCCCAATAACTGCACAGACTTACATAACAGGAGTTCTTTAGCTGACTTTTGGGCTTTGGGGACCAACACATTAGTAGTAGTATACTATGCTTGCGGCTAAGAACACGTGTTTTTTTTACTTTCTCAACCTCAAGAAACATTGTTTGGATGTGCTAATGGTCCCAGAGGAAGGCAGCAGCCATAACAAGCAAAATATTAGGTTGAGAACAGACGTACAGTAACAACACAGGCACAGAGTACAAATTTGCCTAAGGAAGCTGAAAATTAGCAGCTTGCATTAATACCTAAGATATCTTTGATTTCCCCGTCCTCCTCTGGTGAGCAGAAACTTGTATTCTCAAGGGAGTGTTTGCATAAAAACCTCCCACAAGAAGAAGAGTTGCTGATGGTGAAGGCTTTGCATAGTGGGGAAGTTTTTGGTTTCTAAAATCCCATATAAGAAGTACCTTTTTTTGGGGGGGGGGGGTCCGGTCGTGGGGCTTGAACTCTGGGCCTGGGCGCTGTCCCTCAGCTCTTTAGTTCAAGGCGAGCGCTCTACCACTTGAGCTACAGCGCCACTTCCAGCTTTTATCTTTTTGCTTATGTGGTGCTGAGGAATCGAACCCAGGGCCTCATGCATGCAAGGCAAGCGCTCTACCACTGAGCCACCTTCCCAGCCCAGTAGTACCTTTTTTCTTTACACACAGAAAACCACAGGGCTCCGCAAGAGTCTCAGACATTGGCTTAAGTTAACCTAACCAGGTGAGCACCCATCAGAGACCTGACAAGGTTTTCGTCTTTGAAACGTTTTTATTGAAAGCAGAATTGAGTGCCAGGTGCTAGCGATTCACGCCCGTGAATCCCCAATCAAGAGGGTGAGATCCGAGGATGCTGGTTCGAAGTCAACTCAAGGCAGGCAGATCCGGGCGGCTCATCATCGAGCAGCAAAAGGCTCGAAATGAGGGTGCGGCTCGCGGGGGAGAGTGCCAGCCCCGAGCGGGAACGGCCAGGCCAGACTGCCAGGTTCCGAGTCCAAGCGAGAACCGGCACAGACCGAACCAACCCCACCAAACGGGGCATCCGTGTCCCTCCGCGGGAACTTTCTAGATGAGAAGGCGTGTACCGCCCGAGCTCTCAAGCCTGCTGGTGGAGGCGCGACGCGAACTCGCCGTCTGAACGCGAGGGCCGCCAACCCTGGGGGGGGGGCTCGCGCTCCCGGGTGGGCACGAGCCGAGTCCGCGGGCCGCCGAGTCCGCGGGCCGGGTGGCCGTTTGTCCGCGCGAACCGGAGCCGTTCCTCGCGGCCGGGACCGTTGCGAATCGAACGCAACGCTTTAGCACGAGCGGGGCGCGCGGTGCAGCCGGTTCAGCCCGTGTAACCGAAGTACTGGAACGCCAACCACCCACCGGGTCCGCCGAAGCCCCTCCGCGCGGGCCGCGGCCACAGTGCGCTCTGCGCCTGCGCGGCCCGCAAGCTCCGCCCCCTCGAGCGCCCCGCGCGCGGTGCCGCGCCTCCCTATGGCGGCCGCCGCAGTGTGTGGTATTTAGCGGGTGCGCGCGGCAGGTTCGGGAACGCGCGACACGGCGGCGGCTAGGGGGGGAGCCGTGGCGGCCGTGGCGGGGCGCGCTCTCGAGCGGCGGTGGCAGCGGCCTAGGGTGTCCCGTTGGTCTTGGCGCAAGGGAGAGGCGGTGGCGCTGCCCGCGGTGGCGGGGGTTGGCGACGGAGCGCGTTTGAGCCAGGACCGGGGTCCGCGGCGCGCTCTCCGCCCATAGGTAAGTGGGGCCCGGGCCGGAGGGAGGAGCTGGCGGCGAGGGGCTCCCGGGAGGAGGGCTCCCGGGCCCGGTAATGGCGGCCTGCGGACGGCCGGGCCCTGTCAGGCCGCCGGATCCGGGGACTCTCGTAGCCCAGGCCCGGCAGCGCCTTTGTCTCGGCCGAGCCCGGCCGCCCGCCGAGCGCCGCCCCCGCCCCTCCCCTGCCGGCCGCGGTCGCCGGCCCTGCCGCGAGCCGGCTCGCTCCCGGCCCTGGTTCCCGGGGCCCAGCGGCGCCGCGGCGGGAGGGGGCGGCCGGGCCGCGGGCTGGGACAGGCCCCTGCGCGCCCCGGAGGCGGGCCCGGCCGCAGGACGCACCCGGCGCGCCCCGCGCCCTCGTGCGGGCCTTTGTTGTGGAGGGTCCGGGTGTGCGGCCAACATGGCGGAGGTCAGCTGAGTGCGGGCCGGCCCTGTCCTCCGTCCTCTCCCCGCGGCGCCCCGAGGTCCGGAGCGGCGCGGGGCGCTCGGCCTTCTCGGCCTTGGCTTTCTGCCCCCGACCCCCGGACCGGAGCGGCCCGGCCGGGCCGCGCTCTTGCTCTCGGGCCGGAGCCTTCATTGTGCAGAGGGAAGAATGCAGCCTCCTCCCTTGTTTATGTCACTCGCGAGGAGAGCGCGCGAGCTGCTAGCGTGGACAACTGTAGCTTTTCCTTCCTTCCTTTTTCTTTTTTAAGTGTTAAGCCCCGGCAGCCTGGGCTCCGTTCTCGACCCTGTCAGATGTGTAACTTAGGAGTGTGCGTGTGGCTGACCTGGGCCGTGCGGCACGCAGGCTTTCCCGTGCCGTTTGTCGGTTCCTGGAAAGATGTAGTGTGTGTTTGCTCTGACAGGAAAGCGAGTCCAGCGTGTGTGTTGGTGAAAAGTAGGCCGCGCAGCCAATTTGTCAAAGTCACAGAGGCTGTGAAGATGGTGTATGTCGGACAGGGTTCCGACTGCCCGATCCCAGCGTGGAGCGTTTACCACGGTTAGATAAGCAGCTGCCACGGGTAAATCGCTAACACTTTTAAAAGCTGTCGAGCGTTGGGAGCGTGGGCTCAGAATTGAGACTGCATGCGTTGTTTCAAATCCTGCCCCACCAGTTTATGACCTTGGCTTCTGTGCGCTTCATGTTCCTCACCTCTAAAATGGGTATAAAGACAGAACTTAACCTCAAACATTGTTGAGAATTGAGGATGGAAATAGCTGAAAGTGCTTAGAGGATTGGCAGGTGGCTCATCGTGAGTGCTCAGTGCTAAGGAGGTTGTGTAATTAAAGTGCTGAAGTGGTTATCAGCATGATGGATGTGTTGGAAGTGCATAGCCACAGTTTGTGAATTTACTTCATAAGTCATTAGTGTTTGGGTTTTGTTGTTGAAAAGAGAAAGGCTTTCTGGGTGATAAGTTGATATGTCTTCTGCAGTCTTCTGGCGTTTTGGAAATTTTTGAATGGGTAGATCTTTTGTGTTTGTTTTTTTTTTTGAATTTAGAAAATCAAAGTGATTAAAATGAGGTGTCCTGTTCACAAGTTTAGACTTATGGATGAGTTCACTTTCAAGGACTTCCAGTAATTAACTTGGAAAAGTAGGACAGTTGAATGAATCCCTTTGAGTGTTAGGTATCTATAGTATCACCATCTCTTAAAAGTTAAGAGCAGAGTGTAATGTGACAAATGCAATGGTCTAGTAACTTTATCAGGGAGCTAGCTATTGGCTCAAATTATGGTGGAGAGCATTTTGGTTAGCTTATACATAAAGTTTGAGATTATGGATTATATAAATTGGTGGTATATTTGTTTTATTCTGGAAACTTAAAAGACATTGTACACTTGTAATCTGGATATGTTAGTTACATTTCTCTTCATATTTTCCCCACTAAAGTTCGCTTTGCCAAAATGTTTTCATATATAAATATAACACAATAGGTCTAAATGGACCCCCATTGGCATCTTTACAGCATAGGTGCTAACATTTAATACTATAAAGTGAAATACAGTGTAATAGAAATAGAACTGTTAACTTTTAAGGGTAAGTGTTCCACAAAGTACAAATTTAGAAACAAATTAACTTGGTTTACATCTGTTTAATTTGCATCTTAATGTGTTCCATCAAATCATCTGGTCTGAAACTTGCTATTCTCCTACCTCATCCTCTGCAGTGTTAGGATTACAGGCATGTGCCACCTCACCTAGTTTAGATTTTAATATTTTAGAAAGCAGCTGTAGACTTGGCAAATTGAGCAAAAGATAGAGAACTTTCCCATTTATAATGTCCTTCATTATCACATCCTTTACCAGAATGATAAATTTGTGGAAATCATTGAGCTTACATTGACACCTTATCACTCAAAGTCCATGGTGTATTAGAATTTACTTTTGGTGGTGTACATTTTAAGGATTTGGACATAATGTGTGTGTGTATATATATATATATATATATAATATATATGAGAACATGAGTAACTTCATAAATCCTCAGCACTCTATTCTTTTTGCCCTTTGCCAAATATCATATAGTTGGAATCATACTTTTCAAAATGGTTTCTTTCACTTCGCAGCATGTATTAAAGTTAATGTTTCATGGCTAGACTACTCAGCAGCAGCATTTTCTCCTCCTCCCTCCTTTTCTCCTTCTCGTTTTCCTTCTCTTCCAACATCTCCTTTCTTCTGCCTCCTTTTGTCTTCTTCCCCATCTTTCTTTTTTCTTTTCCTCCTCTCTCTTCCTTTCTCCCTCCTTTCTTCTGGTACTGTGATTTGAGCTTGGTTGGCTTGCTTGCCTGGCACTGTACTACTTGATTCATACTTCCAGCCTGGCTTTTTTTTTTTTTTTTTTTGATGCCAAGTCTGGACTTGAACTCAGGGCTGGGTTGCTGTTCCTGAGTTGTTTTTTTTTTTTTCCTTTTTGGCCCAAGCCTAGTGCTCTACTGATTGAACCATAGTTCCATGTCTGGCTTTTTGATGGTTAATTGGAAATGTATGTGTCAAGGACTTTCCTGCCAGGGCTGGCTCTTAACCACCATCCTCAGATCTTGAGTAGCTAGGATTACAGGCATGAGCCACTGGCACCTAGCTCCAGCCTGGCTTTTTGCTGATTATTTTTCAGATAGTCTCTGACTTTTCTGTTTGGACTGGCCTGGAACCTTGATCCATAGAAGTTTCATCTTAAGTAGTTAGAATTATAGATGTGAGCTCCTGGTACCCAAGCAGTTTTATTTTTTTCTTATTCTAAGTAATACTCCATTGTGTAGATGTATCATAGTTTACTTACTGGAGCAAGTCTTGGTTACTTCCAAAGTTTGGCAGGAATAAAGCTGCTATAAACCTTCATGTGCAGGCTAATATATTGACTGAAAACTCCAGTTCCTTTGTGTAAGTACCACAAAGTATGAGAAACTACAAAACTTTCATCCAAAAATGGCTGTTATTCTCAGCATTCTCATCAGCAATGAATTGGTGGTGTCAGTATTTTGGATTTTGGACACTCTTATGGTTATGTAGTGGTATTTTAAGGGAGCTTTTTAGTAGATCAAACTGATTTCAAAGGTCTTTAATATGTAGCCCCAAGTGTTTCTGTACCATTTATAAGTACAGAGCCTTGCCAGAGCTGGCCTGTTTTGCTCCCCTACCTTACTGGACCACATTCTTGCACATCTTTTCCCAACTAGAGTCTGACAATCTAGAACTGAGAAGAATTTCCTGCATACCTTGCATTGAGCTGGGATCTCTCTCTCTCTCTCTCTTTCTCTTTCTCTCTCTCTCCATAATTCCATAACTCTCTTGATTGTCCCCACTGTAATATGTAGCCTCAATTCTAGTTTTTCTCTAGTTCTTTCTAGCTCCAAATAAATGAATTTCTGAGACGTGGTCTTGTTTTCCTTTGTTCAGAGGTTAGCTGTGCTTTCTTTTTGGGTGAGGGAGCTATTTTATTTATATTTTGTTTTCGAGTAAAATACTTTTTATTATTATAAAGGTGATATACAGAGGGGTTAACATTTTATAAGTCACGTGCACTTTTTGGACAATGTCACCCTGCCCTTGTTCTCTCCTAGTTTTCCCTCCCATCTCCACCCATGTTGTACAGATCATTTTGAATATAGTTTCTACAGAGTACCACAGCTGCTTGCTTTTTTTTTTTTTGTCGCTCCTGGGGCCTGACCTCTGGGCCTGGGCTCTGTTCCTCAGCTCCTCAGCTCTTCAGCTCAAGGCTAGCGCTCTATCTACCACTTGAGCCACAGCGCCACTTCCGGCTTTTTCTGCTTATGTGGTACTGAGGAATCGAACCAGGGCCTCATGCATGCAAGGCAAGTACTCTACCACTGAGCCACCTTCCCAGCCCTACTGTTGCTTTTTTTGTTTACCCTATATCGTCCATTTTTGTGTCCCTCTTGGCACAGAGGCATTGCACCTTTGCGCTACTCCCCTAAGAGTGTTCTCCTTTGGACTTGCTGTGAATGAATGCTTAAAGTCCTGTATAATTCATCATGTGCTGGTATATTTTAGATCTAACTTTCCCATATTAGAAAAAACATTTACCATTTGTCTCTCTGTAGCTGTACTTTTGACACATAGTTGGTACTTAGTAAATCATAATGACTTTTTAATATATATCTTTCCAGCTTTGTATCCAGCTCTCGCGTGTTTTATCTACTCTCCCTAGTCAAACTAGTTTTTTTTTTTTTTTGTTGTTGTTCATAGAAAACTACTTTAACATATTTTCCATGATTGTATTTTAATCTCTCGTGTCTGTGCTACTTTGGGCAGATTTCTTAACTTCTCTAAGCTTTAATTTCTATTAGTAGCACAAGAACAGTTTAGATATATTGCTATCCTTCCCTCCCTCAAGGGTCCTAAAGATAGAGTGCCACTGTAATTGAGTGGTTTAAGAATGCAGAACCTTGGGCTGGGAAGGTGGCTCAGTGGTAGAGCACTTGCCTTGCATGCTCGAGGCCCTGGGTTCGATTCCTCAACACCACATAAGAAAAAAACCGGAAGTGGTG